GGTGGTTTATTGGAGATAGGAGTCTCACGGTCTCTCCTGCCCGGGTTGGCTTTGAACCGCGATCCTCAGATCTCAAACTCCTGAGTAGCTAGGATTACAGGTGTGAGCCACCAGCGCCCGGCTTGGCCCTTGATTCTTCAGCTGCAAAACCTATTCAATGGCACCTACCTCCCAAGTGGACCATTATGAAGACTTCACAAGGACTGCCAGTGCCCGGATCACATGTCACATAGTAGGTGGGTCCTGCATCATCTCCCTACTTCTTTTCTTGACATCATCAGGAAGTCAAAGATTGTGTGTGTGTGTGTGTGTGTGTGTGTGTGTGTGTGTGTGTTGGTACTGGGGCTTGCACTCAGAATCTGGGCTCTGTCCCTGAACATTTTTGCTTAAGGCTGGTACTCTACTGCTTGAGCCATGCTCCACTTCTGTCTTTTTGGTAGTTAATTGGAAATAAAGAGTCTCAAGGACTTGCTTGCCTAGGTTTGACTTTGAATCATAATCCTCAGCTCTCAGCCTCCTGAGTGGCTAGGATTACAAGTGTGTACCACTAGTGCCTGGCTTCAAGAAGTCAGAGTTAAGACTCCTTCAGAGGCAGGACAAAAAGATCATCATCTACAACTCTGGAATTATTCTCTGTTGCATTTCAAAAACTGAACAATCAGAGTTAAGGGTATAGCTCAGTGGTGGAGCCCTTGCTCAGTGTGTGCAGGTCCCTGAATTTAGCCCCCAGCATCACAGAATGCCAAACCAGAGCCAGGGCCTAAAAAACTCAATACTAAAAAATCAAACTCCAGACAAACACTGCTAAGGCTTTGAGAAAGTATTTTTGCCTCTGTCTGCTGGGCTGCTGCGACTTTTCTCTTTTAAAATATTCTTCTCCATCTCATATTTCTCAATCGCCTTCAAAAATCAGAAGAAAAAAAAAGTGGCATTAGGGGTTAGTGTAAATCCTGGGGAAGGGAAGGGCAGGGGTTGGAGGGGTCCAGGTCTTTTTACTTGTTAGTGTCCAAAAGGCTTGGAGCTCCCATACCGGGGGCCGGGGGGAGGGGAGGAGAGAAGCAAAGTCAGCTTCATCTCTTCCCCTAGGTGATAGGACCTGTGGCCACTGATGTCACTGACAGCTTCTTTCCCTCCTCCACATCCCTCCTCAGTGTTACCAACACATCTCCCAAACTAGCACCCTCTTTTGCCCACCCCCTACACCTCTGAGAAGTTAAAACAGAATTCTGATCACTGCGTCATAGGTTATAAGCCATCGTTTGATCTCTCAATAGGTGTAGGTAATAATAGCTACCTTCCAGGGTACAAGCATGTAAAGTGTTTACAGTGTATTTGAAAACACTAGCACCAGCCTGGCACAGGCAGCTCATACCTGTAATCCTAGATACTCAAGAGGCTGACATCTGAGGATCACCGTTCCAAGCCAGCTCAGGCAGGAAAGTCCATGAAACTCTTATCCCCAATGAACCACCAGAAAACCAGAAGTGGCTCCATAGCTTTGAGCAAAATGAGATCAGGGACAGAGCCCAAACCTGAAATTCAACACCACCACCACCACCACCCACCCACCCACCCCCAACACTGATAAACCAAAAACAATAATAAAAGCCCACTAACACAGCCAGGCACTGGTGGCTTATAACATTACTCCTAGCTACTCAAGAGACCAGGCTGGATGCCAGACTGAAAGATTCTTTTTTTTTTTTTTTTTGGTCATGGGACCTGAACTCTGGGCCTGGGTGCTGTCCCTGCGCTCTTCAGCTCAAGGCCAGCGCTCTACCACTTGAGCCACAGCGCCACTTCCGGCTTTTTCTGCTTATGTAGTGCTGAGGAATCGAACCCAGGGCTTCATGCATGCAAGGCAAGCGCTCTACCACTGAGCCACCTTCCCAGCCCCTTCTAAAAGATTCTTACCTCTAATTAACCAGCAAAATGCCAAAAGTAGAGATGTGGCTCAAGTGGTAGAATGCCAGCTTTGAGAGAAAAAAGCCAAGCAAGACAAGACTTTGAGATCCTGAGTTCAAGTTCTAGTACCAGCATGGGCATGCATATGCACGCACGCGCGCGCACACACACACCTATCACAGGAACAATCAGGGCTGCTCCCTACCAGGTAGTTAATGCTATGGATTGGCATACGGTCAAAAATCTTCTCTTGATCTAATTCCTCACCCCCCAATATAATAAAAAGAGAAGGAAAGATGAAGCCAGTGATTCTCTAGTTGTACTGATTGAAAAACCAAGAGGCCAGCCAGCGCTGTGCTTGGATAAGAGAGTTACCTCTGTTCCAGATGCTGAAAGACACCTCCAGGGCAGAGTGGATGCTAAAGAAACCACCTGGCAGTGAATGCTGGGTGGGAAGTGAACTACACAGCAGGACCAGGAGGAATACAAAGGTCATGGCAGACGGTAACCCAAAGAGGGAGACAGGATAGCCCAAGGACGGGTTGCTGGCAGTAGGCAGTCAGTGCTAGCCCAGTTGACCAGCTTCCTGGGTCACGAGCAAGAAGGACCAGGAAGGGGTCCTCCCGTCCAGGTCACATGGAGACTCCAGGCTGCTCCTGGCAGCCCCATCCTGGTTGTGAGTGACAGTCAAGAACTCCCAGGAGGGCTGGGAATGTGGCTTAGTGGTAGAGGGCTTCCCTAGCACTCATGAAGTCCTGGGTTCCATTCCTCAGTACCACATACACAGAAAGAGCCAGAAGTGACAATATGGCTCAAGTGATAGAGCCCTAGCCTTGAGCAAAAGAGGCTCAGGGACAGTGCCCAGGCCCTGAGTTCGAGCCCCAGAGTGGTTAAAAAAATCAAACACGCAGGAGAGCTGAGGATTCTAGGCAGCCTCCTGCCAGATCCTATCAGGGAAAGAGAGAGACCCTTCATTGTTTCTTAAGGTTTAAGTTCTTATTTTAACTATATACCCACCAAGGGCTTGGGCAAGCCTCGAGTCCCTGGCGCTGTGCTTAAAGACACAGTGACTGAGCCAGGCGCTGGTGGTTCATGCTTGTAATCCTAGCTACTCAAGAGGCTGAGATCTGAGGGTCACGTTCAAAGCCAGTCTGGGCATGAAAGTCCATGAGGTTCTTATCTCCAATAAACGACTAGAAAACGGGAAGTGGCACTGAAAGTGTAAAGTGCTGGCCTTGAGCTGGAGAGCCCAGGACAGTGCCCAGGCTCAGCGTTCAAGCCCCATGACTGACACACACACACAAAAAGACACATTGACTGGGACAGGGAGTGAAGTAGGACAAAGGTCAGGCCTGTAGAAACTGCGAGACTACTGCAGAGGAAGCTGACTCGCTGGAAATCTGAGGGTCAGCTGCTGCAGGCCAGCGTTGGGCCCAGACTGCCAGTGGGTGACCTCTACTATAGCTGAAAAAGCTTGTGGGTTCAGCCGTGAACTTGTGCACAGCACACAGGATTCCCCAACAGTGGTCCCCCTCATCACAGTCTTCCCTCAGCTGCCAGCTATGCAGTGAGGTGGGTCACCTGGCTGACTGCCCCAGAGGCCTCACAGCTTTGAGAACCAGGTGCCTGGCATTAACTCTTGGTCCGTGGCTATTACTTTGCTGTTCTCATTTAGAAATATCTAAATCTATCTTAGAGATTTTTTTTAGATCAATGTCTCATACTTCTTAATTACTGTAAAAGAGAGAAATAATCAAATATACACTGGTGCTCCAACCAAATATAGTCAGAAAGATGGTGTTCCTCCACCTTGCCTGAGCTGTGTCACCAGTGCTTCTTGCTGAGCCCCTGCCCTCCCCACCACCCAGCTGTGTGTGCGCATATGTATTTGAGAATTCTTGGAGGGCCCTGTTTTATATATTTTCTAACAAAAATGAATAAAAAGCAGCTTTTAAATTTCTAGTTTGCAGCCTGGCATGTAAGGAGCTCAGCAGTCATTGCTCTGCTCTAACAAGTACAAAGCAACAAAGCAGAAGAAACTGAACCATGTTTTAAAATAAACAAAGGGTCTCCAAGCCAACGCAGCTTTTTTTTTTTTTTTTGGTCGGTCTTGGGGCCTAGATGTTGTCCCTCAGCTCTTTAGCTCAAGGTGAATGCTCTACCTTTTGACTTTCCTGCCTGGGCTGCCTTTGAACCATGATCCTGAGATCTCAGCCTCCTGAGTAGCTAAGACTACAGGCCTGAACCCAACACAACTCTTGAGGACCCCCAGACCCTTCCTTCCCAGAGGCCTGGCCTCAGCCCCAGTGCCACAACTCACCAGGCTATTGGTCATCTCATTGAGACTCAGGTCTATTCCACCCATCTTTTGGTTCACCTGCTGCATGGAGCCAATAAGGCACGCTAGGAGGCAAGTTTGTTAAGGAATCTCTCCACTCATGATTTCCTCTGCACACTTTTAATCTTGTTAAAGTATGAATGAAAATCTATCATATTGTAGGCATCGTACCCACAATGCCACTTTCCTAGAAACTCTTGGAATCTCGGGACATTCTGGAGGGGGATGGACAGGATCTCATTAAGTAGGCCAGCCTGCCTCAAACTTGTGATCCTTTTTTTTTTTTTTTTGGTCCAGTCGTGAGGCCTAAACTCTGGGCCTGGGCGCTGTCCCTCAGCTCTTCAGTTCAAGGCTAGCACTCTACCACTTGAGTCACAGCGCCACTTCCGGCTTTTTTTCTTTTTGCTTATGTGGTGCTGAGGAATCGAACCCAGGGCCTCAGGCATGCAAGGCAAGCGCTCTACCACTGAGCCACCTTCCCAGCCCCACTTGTGATCCTTTTGCCTCAGCCTCCTAAGTAGCTGTAACTATAGGCATGGAACACATTGCTTCCAATGTTTTTCACATACGTACTTTTTTTGCACAATTACAATCTCAGTGAAAGCCTGTTTTACTCTCTGTCTTCTACTCTCACTTTCCATATAGCTAAAGGATCTTTATAACAATCATTTTCTTTTTTTTCTGCCTGGATCTAACTAATTTTTTCCCAATTCTTTATTGTGATTAAGTGATTAAATAATATCCCAAATTTCACAGTATTGTGGGATAGTGATGCTTAGTTAAAGTCACAAACACATTCTAACTTTCATGGGGCAAATTGTCTATTGTGGTCTATCACATTGATGAGTTCTATGAGCTTTGCGATGTAGTTATTTCTTCCGCATTGGGTGATATGTACATTTCTTTTGTTTTGCATAGCATCCGCTGTTTCCTCTTTCCCACTTGTTCCCTCCCTCCCACCACTGTCACTGAGTTGCTTAGTTCATTTTAATCAATGTCCAGTGCAGCTGATGGGTCCTGCTTATAACAATAATTTTTAATAACTCTCTACTAACCCATTTTGAATATTCGTCTTCATATACATAACTGTTCCTTGGCTATTGATATTGAAGCTGTTTATAATTTGTGTGTGTGTGGGTGTATGCTGGAACTGGGGTTTGAACTCAGGGCCTGGACATTGTCCCTTAGCTTTTTCATTTAAAGCACTCTACCTCTTTTTTTTGGGGGGGGGTCCGGTCGTGGGGCCTGAACTCTGGGCCTGGGCGCTGTCCCTCAGCTCTTCAGCTCAAGGCTAGCGCTCTACCACTTGAGCCACAGAGCCACTTCTGGCTTTTTTTTTTTTTCTGCTTATGTGGTGCTGAGGAATTGAACCCAGGGCCTTATGCATGCAAGGCAAGCGCTCTACCACTGAGCCACCTTCCCAACCCCTAGCACTCTACCTCTTTTTTTTTTCTGTTTTTTTGTGTTTTTTTTTTTTTGGTCGGTCGTGGGGCTTGAATTCTGGGCTTGGGCACTGTCCCTGTGCTCTTCAGCTCAAGGCAAGCGCTCTACCGCTTGGGCCACAGCACTACTTCCGTTTAAATTTTTTTTTTGGTCGGTCGTGGGGCTTGAACTCTGGGCCTGGGCGCTGTCCCTCAGCTCTTCAGCTCAAAGTGAGCGCTCTACCACTTGAGCTACAGCGCCACTTCCGGTTTTCTGATGGTTTATTGGAGATCGGAGTCTCACGGTCTCTCCTGCCCGGGCTGGCTTTGAACCTCGATCCTCAGATCTCAGCCTCCTGAGTAGCTAGGATTACAGGCATGAGCCACCAGCGCCCAGCTAGCACTCTACCTCTTAAGCCACACTTCTATACCTGTATGTCCAGCTTTTTTGGTGGTTAGTTGGAGATAAGGGTTTCATGGACTTTCCTGCCAGAGCTGGCTTTGAATCTCGATCTTCAGATCTCAGCCTCCTGAGTAGCTAGGGTTATAGATGTGAGCCACTGGCACCCAGCTCTTTATAACTTTTTGTAGCAATAAAACATGTTGTGACGCATGTGGTCATGTACAGAGCTGTTTCTTTAAGAAAGATTATCAGGTGAGGGATGATTAAGTCAAAGGTTACCCTGACCTTGTTTACCTCCGTTGAAACATGCTCAGTTTTATGGACTCTCTTGCTCCCCTCTGAACTTATACATTTTTTTTTCTGTCTTAGCTCCAACTGCCTCAGATAGAATATCTAGGACAGAGCCTTTATAAAGGCCTATAATCCTATCACTCCAGTCCAGAATAGCTCACTCTTTTACCCTCCTCCATTAGGCTCAAGTGTTCTTACTGATCAGAAGATGATTGAAAAGAGAAGACACCAAGAAGGACCTGACAAGTCACGGAAAGTGAAATGGAGGATTAGGGTATGATATGAGGGATCAGAAAGAAAGAGGGTGCATTAGGAAGAGGCCCGGGAAAGTGAGACCCTGAAGCAGATGTAGGTGCTTTGTAGTTTCAGAGAGGTACAGAATGGGAGGGGGACAGAGGGACACACTTTGTCTGGAGGCCACCTGGCTTGAAGGTATGACACTGGTTATTTATAACCAGAGAGTGGAGAGTGCTACTTGCAGGGTGGGCTCCAGGGTTGCCAGGAGATGGGCTTCTGTGATGCTGGAACACATTTCAGAAGTGACATGAAGCTCCATGAAAACAGGACCAGGGAAGGCAGGTGCTGGTAGAGCCTGGATGATATCAGAGGGGCAAACACTGGGCCCAGGCAGAAGGGCTGACTGGGGAGGAGAGGTGGGGTCAACCAGAATAAAACATTGACAAAGATGGAGTCACATGTGATAGTACACACCTATAAGCACAGATACTCAGGAGATGAAGACAAGGAGGATCTTGGTCCATAGTGGCCCTGGCAAAAGTCAGTAAGACAGTATCTCAAAAGCAAGCCACATTTGGTAGCATACACATGTATTCAGGAGACAGAGGTAAAGGGATTGAAGGTCTGTGGTTGGTCCAAGGAAGAAGCCATGGAGACCTTATCACCTGAAAAGTAAACTAAAAGCCAAAAAGATTTGTGGTTTTACCTCAAGTAGTAGAGCACTTGCCTAGCAAGTGCAAGGCACTGAGTTCAATCTTCAAATGCTACAGAAGCCCAGGGGGCTCCCAATACCGCAGCCCATAGTGGCCTGGCCCAGGACTTCCTAGTTGCTATCTATTACATCTAGAACAACCAGCCTTTGGAAAGGAGCTGGAAGGAGACAAAACACAATGAACTTCTTTTCTCTTCTTCTCCATTCTTTCAGTAAAAATATTCAGGCCTTCGTCTTTTGGGGCTCTTTCTAATTAAATCAGTTATAACCAAATTAACTGGGAACTGGGAATATGGCTTAGTGGTAGAGTGCTTACCTACCATGTGTGCAGCTCTAGGTTTGATTCCTCAGTACCACATAAACAGAAAAAGCCAGAAGTAGCTTGTGGCTCAAGTGGTAGAGTGCTAGCCTTGAGCAAAAGAAGCTCAGGGACAGTGTGCCCAGGCCCTGAGTTCAAGCTCCAATACTGGCAAAAAAGAAAAAAAGAAAGAAAGAAAGAAAAAAGAGAAAAGAAAAAAATTAACTGGGTTCATAGCCTATAATTCTAACTACTCAAGAGGCTAAGATCTGGGGCTGGGAAGGTGGCTCAGTGGTAGAGCGCTTGCCTTGCATGCCTGAGGCCCTGGGTTCGATTCCTCAGTACCACATAAGCAAAAAGAAAAAAGCCAGAAGTGGCGCTGTGGCTCAAGTGACAGGGTGCTAGCCTTGAGCTGAAGAGCTGAGGGACAGCGCCCAGGCTCAAAGTTCAGGCCCCATGACCGAACCCCCCCCCAAAAAAAAGAGGCTAAGATCTAAGATCATAGTTTGAAGCCCATTCAGGCAGAAAATCCATGAGCCTCCAATTCTCACACACACACACACACACACACACACACACACGAATGGAAGTGGAGGTGTGGCTCAAAGGATAGAATGCCAGCCCTGAGCAAAAAGCTAAGGGAGAGGTCTGGGCTTAGTGGTAGAGTTCTTGCCTAGCATGCATGAAACCCGGGTTTCCATTCCTCAGTACCACATCAACAGAAAAAGCTAGACGTGGTACTGTGGCTCAAGTAGTAGAGTGCTAGCCTTGAGCAAAATAAGCTCAGGGACAGTACCCCTGAGTTCAAGTCTCAGGGCAGGCAAAAAACAAAAACATCTCAATTCAAAATAATCCTTATAGTCCCATTTCAAATGACAACTAGAATTTAAACATTTAGGAAAACATATAGTACAAGCTATATAGACACAAGCATAGACACTAGCACTAATCACTGCTCTGAGGTCTGACTCCTTAGTGCATGTGGCCAGGATACAGGGTGGATGTTCCTTTAAATCCTTCCTCAGAGAATCCTCCATTGCCTGCCGGATGCGCAGTGAGGCGGTCAGGTGCTTATCTATGGGTATCATTGGAAAGTTGGTCTCGTTGATGACTTCCAGATGCTTCATAAACTCCATTGTCCAAATCTCACAAACTGGCAAACGAAGTTTTCATGTCTAAAAGCTTCTCTTTTCCCACTCCTATCTTGTTCTTCCTTCAGTCAGCCTCCTGGAAATCACAGATAGTATGGACCCATCTTAGAAAACCCAAGAGAGAAAGACATACATGTACTCACCGTGGGATAACCATTTGCCTCTTGTCTTCCTGACAGAGGAGGTGACAGGGTCCTGCTTTTGTTGCTTCCTTTTGTTTTTGGTAATTGGAATTTTCTATTTTAAGAGATTAAATTTTAGCCAGGTACTGGTGGCTCACGACTATAATCCGAGCTACTCAGGAGGTTGAGATTTGAGAATTATGGTTCTAAGGTAGCGTGGGCAGAAAAGTTCATGAGACTCTTATTTCCAATTAACTATCAGAAAACTGGAAGTGGGGGCTGGGAAGGTGGCTCAGTGGTAGAGCGCTTGCCTTGCATGCCTGAGGCCTTGGGTTCAATTCCTCAGCACCACATAAGCAAAAAAAGAAAAAAACCAGAAGTGGCGCTGTGGCTCAAGTGGTAGAGCGCTAGCCTTGAGCTGAAGAGCTGAGGGACAGCGCCCAGGTCCAGAGTTCAGGCCCTATGACCAGACCCAAAAAAGCAAAAAAGAAAGAAAACTGGAACTGGAGCTGTGACTCAAGTGGTAAAGCATCAGCCTTGAGAAAAAAAGAAAAAACAAACAACAACAACAACAACAAAAAACAAGCTTGTGAGGCCGAGTTTAAGCCCCAGTTCCAACATACACACATACACAAAAACCAACAATGATAACAAAACACAAAGATTAAATTTTCAGCTTATTGTTTTTGCTTGCCTGAAAGTGTCTGTACTGCCAATCTCAAGATTGCCTGTTTATCTAGCTCTTGTTTGCTGGTCTCAGGTTTGAAGACAATTGCAGTGTGAGGCAGGAGGAGTCGTGGAGGCGGGAATGACTTGTGAGGACAACATCTCAGGCCAGGAAGTGTGCGCAAGAGTGTTCCTTTCTGGCCAATGGCAGCCAACTGGACTCATTTCACATTTCAAACATTCCCATAGCTGTCTACAGGACAGTGGTGCTTGAACATACCAATAAACTCCATAACGCCTCCAGCCCATGTGGGTTTCATGACATGAATACTGCTGAAATTTGTAAACAAGGCAAAACCAAAAAGCCATGCTCACCTGCTAAGTGGGGGCTGATCATAAGGCACATGACCCACAGGTTCTGAGAGGAAGAAAGGCTTTTGTTGGTGCAGCCCATTCATTTTTGTTTTGTTTTTGCTGTACCAAGGTTTGAACCCATGGCTTTCTGTTTGCTAGGCAGGTTTTGACCACAGAATGTCACCTCTAGTCCTTTCCTCTGCTGGTGATTTTTCAGTTTACACTTCCTGCCCAGGTATGCATCTGGACCACCATCCTATCTTTTAGCTCTGGCCATAGTGAGAATGACTGCTATGTGCCACTACATCCAGCTGCTTTCATTGAGATAGAGGCTCATGGATATTTTTTCTTTTCTTTTTTGTCGGTTGTGGGGCTTGAACTCTGGGCTTGGGCACTGTCCCTGCACTCGTTAGCTCAAGGTGAGCACTCTACTGCTTGAGACACTGTGCCACTTCTGGTTTTCTAGTGGCTTATTGGTGATAAGAGTCTCATGGACTTTCCTGCTCAGGCAGGCTTTGAACTGTGATCATGAGATCTCAGCCTTCTGAGGAGCTAGGATTATAGGCGTGAGCCACCAGTGCCTGGCTCATGGATATTTTCTAACTAGACTGACCTGGAACAGTAATCAGAGTCTCTCACGTAGCTAGGATGGCAAGTATACACTACTACACCCAGCAATTGGTCAAGAAGGAGTTTCATATGTATTCCAGGGCCAGCCTCAAGCCCACAATCCTTTCTATCTCACCTCCTGTGTAGTTAGGATTACGGGTATTAACAACCCATGCCTGACATGAAGCCCACTCTGTGTGTGTGTGTGTGTGTGTGTGTGTGTGTGTCTCTGTGTGTGTGTGTGTGTGTGTGTGTGTGTGGTGTGTCTGTGTATGTGTCTGTGTGTTGGTATTAGGACTTGAATTCAGGGCCTTTCAATCTTGCTTGGCTTTTTCTGTTGCAGGCTAGCACTCTACCACTTGAGCCACACTTCTAGTTCTGGAATTTTGCTAGTTAATTGGAAATAAGAGTCTCATGGACACTTCTTTTAGAGCTGGCTTTGAACTGTAATCCTCAGATCTCAGCCTCCTGAGCAGCTAGGATTGCATAGGCATGGGCACGAAGCCTGTTTTTTCTTTTCTTTTTTCTAGGTTTGAGACCAGGACTCCAATTCAGTACCTGTAGCTGCTTTCATTCATTGGCTAGTGTTCTACTAACTGAGGCATACCTCCAACCCCTGAAGTCCATTCTTTTCCTTTTTCTTGGTCATGGGACTTGAACTCAGGGCCTGAGGGCTATCCCTGAACTCTTGCACTTAAGGCTATCACACTACCACTTTGAGCCACAGCACCACTTCCAGTTTTCTAGCAGTAAATTAGAGATAAGAGTCTCTGGGAGGGCTGGGTATATGGCCTAGTGCTTGCCTAGCATGCATGAAGCCCTGAATTCTATTCCTTAGTACCACATACACAGAAAAAGCCAGAAGTGGCGCTGTGGCTCAAGTGGTAAAGTAATAGCCTTGAGCAAAAGAAGCGTGGGGACAGTGCCCAGATCCTGAGTTCAAGCCCCAAAGCTGGCAGAGAGAGAGGGGAGGAAGGAGGGAGTGAAGAAGGGAGGGAGAGATTGAGAGTCTCAGAGACTTTCCTTCCTAGGCTGGCTTTGAACTATGATGCTCAGATCTCAGCCCCCTGAGTAGCTAGGAGTACAGGCGTGAGCCACCAGCGCCTGGCTTTCTCACTTATCTGTCACCATATGCTAACCCTCCAGCACAGTCCTGCTTCTGTGAAATCAAAGACTTACGAGCTTCCCTCAAACAGCTCATACATAGAGAGCAAAGGTCAAGCTTACTGGGAAAATTACTCCAGGGTCTCTTTTACTACACTTTCTTTAACCTCTCCTCTAGTTTAGTCTTCTGTTCTACCCACTTCTCCCCAGTCATGCATCCTATGTGTCTGACCCACTGACCTTCCTGATCCTTGACAGTACTAAGCTATTCATGCCTCTGTGCTATTACACCTGCCCTTCCATCTATGGGACTCAGCACAGGTGATTTGTCTTTGAAAAACCGAGAATTATTCTGTGCCATTAGTACCACAATTCTTCTATAAAAGCTCAGAGTTCTATTTCCATCTATTACAGCACTTAAAATATCAAACTGGAATAAGTTGTGTCTCATCTCCTTAGCGAGTAACTCATCAGCAACAGTAAAATAATCACTCAATATTTAATTTTTCTTTTGGATTTCATCACCATACTTTCTAGAATCCAATTCATCTTGGGCTGTCCCACGATATCTGGATCATAGGAAAGTCTAACTCAGGCCCAAGTTAACACAGTTTTCTAGTCTTTAGCCATACAGGGAAAGGGGGAAGAGGTAAAGAGGAAGAGGATTCTCATTTTCTTCCTACCCATTTGCTAGCATGGCTGGAAAACTACATGTTCTCTGAAAAGCCAGGCTTAGCTAGCTGTCAAGAAACTCCCACTTTAGCCTGACTTTATTACTCATGCCTGTGGGAGAATTCAATGGCACGCTTCTTGTGAGAAATGTTTAAAATACACACACAGTTCCCTGCTGGATTTTTCATCCTACCATTTAAGGGTATTCTGAAACATATTCAGTTTTCACTGACATTACTTGGGGAGGAGGAGGAGGGAAAAGAGTGGCTTCATTGAATACATGGTGGCAAGCACTGTGCTATGGGCTGGAGGCAGATGAGTGGGAGAAAAAGGAACTTTGTGCCATTGGGGAGCACACATTCTGACATCTGAGATTTGAATGTCCCCAATTTAAAGCTGACCTGTTCTATTCCATAGAAACCATGCTGACATTGGCGTTAGATGGTCTTGTGTCGTTCTGATGCACAGGATGGCACAGATCTCATTCTGATACCTCCTCCCACAAGTCAACGGGTGTGCTTCTGCTGGGGACAGGACAGTGAAGTAAAGCAGTCTTGACCCTTCTGGCTTACATCTTCTGTGGAAGACTTGTATAATTCAAATCATTAAATAACTATAACTCATAAAAACAGTTAAACTAAATCATCGCAGTGGTCCCTATCCACATGTGACAAGTGAGCCCTTGAATTTTATTAGCATGAAAAAAAGAGTAAACTGTCTTTGTTTGTTATTTATTTATGCTGGTCCTGGGGCTTGAACTCAGGGGCCTGGGTGCCATCCTTGAGGTTTCTTGGCTCAAGGTTAGCTCTCTTCCACTTGAGCCACAGCTCTACTTTTAGCTTTTTGGTGGCTAATTGGAGATGCATCTCATGGAATTTCCTTCCCAGGCTAGCTTTGAAGCTCAGTCCTTAGACCTCAGCCTCCTGATTAGCTAGGATTAAAGGCATAAGCCATTGGTGCCTGGTGTGTGTGTGTGTGTGTGTGTGTGTGTGTGTGTGTGTG